CCCATAACTTTTGCAGCTATGGGCAATTGCCCAATGGCCCTACCCCTGGCTACGCCACTGGATACGTTAGTAGCACAACCACCGAGTAATACTAATGAACTTTCAGCTATTTGACCATTTTTTTATTCCTATTACGGTATTGGTTAAACTTTGAATAGACGTCTATGATTTTATTTTTTCCAAAAGAACAAAATCTATTTACCAGGTCCACCAGTAATAACACAAACACCAATTTGATCACTTAGACGAGAAACGGCATCAGGTTAAATCACAAACAAAAGCTGTTTTTTTTTCAATCTTATATAAAGAAAGTTTTACCAGCAAAGGCAGCAATTACTTCATGACGAGTATTAATTATACGTATATTATGTTTTTTCACAAGCAACTAATATTGCTCATATATGACCAACAGATAAACAGAATAGATAAGGAATTCTATGAGCCTTAATGAAAAACGAAATTTTTATTATTACTATAAATAAATATCAATCACTTATCTACTTTAAGGACACCAACAACAAGTTCATCACCATATGCTGTTGGTTGGTGATCAACCTAATATAAATTAATTAATATAAACTCTAGTTATTTTGAACTAGAAGTAAAAATTGTATATCTAAGTGTATATATCCATCGAGTTTTATAAACAATATAGAAAAACAATATAAATAGAATAAGAATAAGAATGACTAGGAAGACAATGGTTTCTTTTCTATAAAAATCTATAATATGTGAAATAACAACACAAGAGTTATAGGATGATAAGATGAATAAATTTATTTTGAAAATACTTCAAATTAATAGAGGGTGTGGGTGTGTGTGGTTGAAGAGAAGACCCGCAATTACCGTCACATAAACACCCACACCCCACCCACACCCCACCCACACCCACACACCCACACCCACACACACACACACCCATATTCTGTTTTCTGATTCGTTTGAACAAACAGTCAGAGAGATGCATTGGAAGATATTTTATGCGATCTAAGGATCAGCTTTCAAATCTTAGATGAGTGACACTTTTGTTGACAGATTATAATCGGCATTGATGGACTTAATTATGTTTTAGTAACAATGTATTCTATACTGCAATTTAGATACCAAAAATTTGTGAATTTAATTTCGAATTGCATATGTTCTTCTTTATCACGGGCAGCTTACTGCAATCTTGCCTTTTAAATCGAAAAGTGTTTATTTGTGGAGTTTTGTATAATTTTTTCCATGTGTCTAATGAATAATAACAAGCGAGTGTCGGCAAATGAGAATTAATCGGAGTGAATACATTTCAATAATGTTTTGTTTCACTTATAGATTATGTTTTTATGAAAACTTTTTAGATTTCCTTGTTGTTAGAAATCGAAATATAGATGTCACTGGTGAGAAATGCAATTGCTATTAGTTGCAAGAAACAAAAGTGTTTTGAGCCTTTCTTTTTGACAAGAGAACAACTGACACAGAAATTTTTTTGATTTATTTTCATTTTAGTTGATGAACGAAATCCACAAATATGTTCGTTCGAATCAATGTTCTTATGTGGATGGTAATTGTGCATATTTTTGCTGTTGAGAATTCTCAAATGGCTATTCGCAGTTATTTTATTACAAAAGATCCGTACAGTGGATGGAAAATAGGTGGATTTTCTGTATTTGATTCAGAGGGAAAAGATTTGCTTTATCATATAAAATCCTCTTATTATTACTTTGAAAGAAGAATCGAATTATCTGATCTTTCTTCAGAACAAATTATTGCAACATTAACATATTCATTTAGTATTTTCAGAGTAAAGCAAGCTGAGCTTTCAATTTTGAATTTGTCTTCTAATGAATGGATAAATGGTACAGTTGAAAATAGTTTTCCTGCATTTCATTATGAATATATTATCAAATGGAATGTACAAAGCATTTTAATGAAAACGAATTTTTTGTCAACATTAACAACATTTCGATATGAAAATCATCGTAAAATTTTGGCAACGCTCAAAAAACGTGTTTTTTCATCTTTTTGGCAAAATAAATATGATTTACAGATATTTTCCGACGATTTGACCGATACATTTTATTTTCTTCTACTTACAATTACAGATCAAAATTACGAACTTGATTCCGAAGACTAAAATCGGAAGCATTTATCAAATAGATTTGTCCTTAAATTTTTATTAGAATGTTATATTTCATGTAAATAAATCATCATTTTCAATAAAATTAATTCAACAAATTTACATCTCAACTTTCATTTTAAATCGCTGCTAAAGACAGATATCAGACTTAAAGCAATACATTCGGAAAAAACGATCACCAATCAGTGCAATGTATTGCCTAAATGTTTATTGAAAAACTCGATTTGCACTATTGAAAAAAACTCGTTATACATCTATTCGATGGTTATAATTAGAGTTACATTGAACTGGTTGTGGATGTGTGGGTGTGGCTGTGGGTGTGGGTGTGGGGTGTGGGTGTGGGTGTGGGTGTGAGTTTTATTCTTTCAC